ACGAGATAAAAAATAAAATAAAAAACATCACCGAAAAAATAGCCTGGGATCTTCCTATTGGTGACCTATTCAAAAAGGCCGACTTGGGTGTCGGCGGAGTTTGATATCCTTTCCTTTCCAATTCAGTGTTTGCAAGATTAATTTCACTATTTTTAAATTAATGTCTATATTGCCATGAAGCAATTACAATAATGCACGTTTATTTTGCAACATTTTTGTATTTGGGAAATTATTTTAAAATAACCCTAATTCTTCATAATTGTGAGAAATAAATATTTTTGGGTTAAACTTGTTTGGACTTATTGTACAAACCTATTTAACATCCACTATTTGAACATAATATTATGGATAGAGTTTAATTCAGTGTTTGCAAGATTAATTTCACTATCTTTAAATTAATGTCTATATTGCCATGAAGCAATTAGGATCATGCATGTTTATTTTGCCACATTTTTGTATTTGGGAAATTATTCTAAGGTGAACGAGATAAAAAATAAAATAAAAAACATCACCGAAAAAATAGCCTGGCATTTTCCTATTAGTGAGCTAATAAAAATGGACGACTTGGATGTGGGAGGAATTTGATATCCTTTCCTTTCCAATTCAGTGTTTGCAAGATTCATTTCACTATTTTTAAATTAATGTCTATATTGCCATGAAGCAATTTTGTATTTGGGATATTATTTTAATGGCCACTGTCACCTCAACGAGATTTAAAAGAAAATTTAAAAAACATCACTGAAAAAATAGCCTGGGATCTTCCTATTGGTGACCTAATCAAAAAGGCCGGATGTGGGTATTCGTTGGATATCCATCTTTGGCTTCATGCAGACTTATGGGGGTTTTTCTCTCACCTGTCCCTGACCACCATCTCGATGCGGGTCTCGGCGGCGGCCTTCAGGGCCTTGTGGGCCTTGTCCACGCTCCAGCCGGCGCAGTTCTGCCCGTTTATCTGCAGGAGCTGGTCCCCGAAGCGCAGGCCGGCCAGCGCCGCCGGGGAGTTGGCCTGCACCAGCTGCACAAACACGCCCTGGGATACAGAGAGGGAAACAGATCAATACGGGGGAGGAGAGGGAAGAGGGAAGATATAGGAACGAAATCAGAGAGGGAAACAAATCAATACGGGGGAGGAGAGGGAAGAGGGAAAAACACAGGAACGAAATCAGAGAGGGAAACAAATCAATTCGGGGGAGAAGAGAGAAGAGGGAAGATATAGGAATGAAGTCACGAAGGTAGGGTTGTCACGATACTAAAATGTTCAACTCGATAACGATACTCAGAAAAATACTTGATACTCGATACCATTTTCAATACCACAAAGCTTAAAAAAAGACCCCAAAATTTAAATGAATTTTGACAGGTTAGGGTCTTTCATTTCAAACTGACCTGTTACTGATGATATCGTGACTGGTGGCCTGCATTAATAACCCTGACCCTAACCCTAACCCTAACCCTCCAGCCTTCACAATTGTGAGAAATTTATATTTTTTGGTTAAACTTGTTTGGAGTTATTGTACAAACCTATTTAACATACACTATTTTAACATAATAATATGTATAGAGTTTAATTTAGTGTTTGAAAGATTAATTTCACCATTTTTAAATGAATCTCTATATTGCCATGAGGCAATTAGGATTTTCTTGCCTGGGATCTTCCTATTGTTAATGTAATTATAATGGCCGACTTCTATGTGGGTGGAGTTGGATATTTACTTGATTAATGGTAGCACGTTATTATTAGCCATTAGCCGAAGCTAGCAGTTCAAGGCTAACAACTTGTTAATGACCATAAACAACTTAAATAAATACATAAATAAATCTGAGAGAAGGGGGCAGTGGTACTGATACTTTTGAAAATGAGTATCGTATCCGGGTACAACATTTTAGTATCGATACTTTTTTGAGTATCGATACTTTTGACAACCCTACACGAAGGCAAATTAAAGCAGTCCAGAGGAGGGAGGCGAGGACACAGATGAGATAATCGGCTCAAACGGGAGAAGAAAGGCGGTTTGAATCGCTGAATAAAGTCAGATGGTTACAGGGATTGCTCCAACGGCCTCTTTGAATGAAAGGAGCTCCACTTATAGTTACCTATGTATATATTTATTTATATTCTGTGTGGAATTTTGTGTGTATATACATGCATATATATATAAAACTTACTAACTTACTTTGGGGGTGGTGGGCTGAAAGTTTTGGATCTAAAAAGATGAGGTAACAGCAAACAATGGCTGATCCAGAACGACGGCCATATTTTATATCTGTCATCAAGCAGAATGAGGGAGACCTCCGAACTTTGTTCTGAACTTTTACAGAGTTTTCTCAGAGAGTAATCTCTATAAATCTAGATAGATAGATAGATAGATAGATAGATAGATAGATAGATAGATAGATGTCCGTTTAATGATGTCTGGGCTGACTCACGTTATCGATGGCCCGCAGTCGGAGCCCGACCTTCCCGTCCTGGTCCTTGCAGAGGATGATCTCCCGGAGACCCGGGCGGATCTCCGCCCGCCGCACGCCCACGTCGGCGCCGGTCACGGGCCGAACCATCGCACCAACGCCCGAGATGGAGGGCACGGCCACCTGCTGGAGGGGATATATTAACTCATTGGCTGCCAAAGACGTCTATAGACGTCTTTTATGTTTTTCAGCGAGAGTGGCGTGGGGGACGATCTGCTAAAGCTTGTCCGTAAATATCAGGCTTCTAGACAGAGTATGTAGTAACAAATTTACCCTCTAGGGGGCAGTGCCACTTTTGATGGGAGATGAGCATAGACTGTAGGCAAATAAGAAAAAGGTAACGGTTCGCTATGAGAGAACATGTCGCCGGTGAGACGCAAGTCCAGGAAGAACGGAATAAGGTAGAAACAATTTTTTTTTCCTGATGAAAGAATAGAGTCTACTCTTTCTTTTGGTGTGTTCGGTGTTTACATAGTCATAGCACAAACTATTCTCTGGCTCTTGAAAAATCAGTCAAAATGCTCCAAAAACTCTGGCAGTATGGGACTCTCTGTCCTGAAAATGGCTGCCAGTCAATGAGTTAAAGGAGAGCAGCATTAAAATCCAGCTTGAGGACACCCTTGGAATATTTAACATGTATGAAACACTCCAAATCTAAACGAATGCATATATCCCCTAACAGCAGACACAATTTGAATCCCACTTCATCACCAATGTGTATTAAATGTAAAACAGAAATTGGAACATTAATTCATTGTCTTTGGTCATGCCATAAGTTTCTGTGGGGGAAATAAGTATTTGACCCCTTGCTGATTTTGCAGGTTTGCCCACTTACAAAGAATGCTTATTTTTCCTCATGAGATGGTTAACAATTTTTATAAATTCATATGATGTGATTTTCTGGAATTTTCTTTGGGATTCTGTCTTTCACTGTTAGAATGTAGATATGATTAAAGTTACAGATCGTTGCATTCTTTGTAAGTGGGCAAACCTGCAAAATCAGCAAGGGGTCAAATACTTATTTCCCCCACTGTATATCCCATAACCACAGACACAATTTCAATCCCACTTTATCACCAATGTGTCATAAATGTAACACAGAAATTGGGACATTAATTAATTGTCTTTGGTCATGCCATAAGTCAGTGTTTTTCAATCACTGTGCCTCGGCACACTAGAGTGCCGTGAGTGATGGTCAGGTGTGCCGTAGAAAATCATCCTATTTCACCTAATTGGTCTAAAAAGATTTTTTGACTGGTGGCTTAATCATGTAAAAAATTCCTTATGACTAGATTTTGTATATAATTTTGCATATTGAAGTGGACATGTTAAGTGCAATTTGAAAGAAGAAAAATAAAATATGATAAAAATACATTTTTGTGTTTATTTGATTCCTATTCAAGACACTTAAGATAAGATAAGAATAAGATAAGAATAACTATAGTGTTACTATAGGCGGCTACAGATTTGTTTGACATTTTTGGTTGGTGGTGTGCCTCGAGATTTTTTCAATGAAAAACTGTACCTTGGCTCAAAAAAGGTTGAAAAACACTGCCATAAGTTACAAAGATATTGGTCTAATATGTTAACTGAAATCGAAAGGATATTAGGACTGAAACTACAGATGGACCCAATGTCTCTTATTCTAGGGCTTCCAGCTAGATATGTTCTGTTAACAAACCAGAGACTGTTTTGTATTCCTACATATGCAGCTAGGAAGAATATTTATTGTTATTATTGGATAAATAATAGAGACCAAACTGTTAAAGGCTAGCATAAGGTGCTTTTTTATTTGATACCCTTGGAATATTTAACATGTATGATACACTCCAAATCGAAACAATTTTATAAAGTATGGGAACCTTATTTGAACTACCTTGACCCAAATGTATCGGCCCTTTTGTTAAAATGATTTCCTGAAAGGTCATAAAGGAAGGCATGCTGTTGTACTTTTTCTATTTTTATTTCTTCCTCCATATGTGGAGCTGTATATGTGTATCTGAATGTGTTTTTCTTTCTTTCTTTTGTTTGTGTGTTTGTTTGTTTGTGTGTATGTTAAAGCCATTGCCTATCGGATATTTGTCTACTTGCTGTGAAATTGAAAATTAAGAAACATATTCTTTAAAAAATAAATATATATTCATCTTTAGATTAAAAGGAATGAAACATGAAACAGAGCGGAGCGCGTGGGAGGATTCCTTTCACCTCCTCCAGCAGATCAGCTACGCTTAAAAAGCAGAAACTTCCACATGAATTCGCTTTGAAATTTAGGTTTAAAATATCAGAACAAACGAAAGAGGAGGATGGTGGTGGCAACAAACGACAGCAAACATGGATCGGGTGATGAAATTCCAACTGACAAATGATCGAGGATCCACACACAGACATTGTGTGTGTGATTATGTGTGTGTATTAATGAGT